GACTATGAGTCTGAAAATGCAATGAAGAATGAATGTTCACAATAGTGACAACTTTCTGTAAAAAGTAAATTATCTTTCAATTTGTATCCCAAGAATATTCGTATTTTCTTGAATCTACGTGTGATGAACACTTTGTATAATGAAATCTTTCATTTGACTCATCTTGAAGAAAATGTTTGATATATACATGATGCATTCTGATGTTGAAAATAAATATTTTTCTGACTTGCACTGGCCATGCAGCTTAGAAAAATATTTGTGGTTAATTTATAATGTTCATGCACAATATTAATTCAACACAAATATAACTGGGATTACATGAACTAATATAACACATTTACACATGCAACTCTAAGTCTAATCTCCGAGGATTTGCAAACTCATCGTAATTAGACCTCAGGACCCGGGAAAGCTTTAGCAAACTCTAGTATGTCTAAAAGCTCATCAATGAAGAAAGAAGAAATGAAAACTTTCCTCTGACTCAAAGGCATGAAGTTCTGTCTCTCACCACATCATCTAGAAATTTGATTAGGTTATTGAAATAACTGCCAATGTTTAAGAGACCAATAGGTTTATTGTGCAACCCTTCAGATGCCCATGAGATCAAAGTGAACAAACCTTCGATAGTATCAATTCCTCCGGGAAGTATGATGAAAGCCTCCACCACATGATTCATCTCAAAATACTTAAAGTAATTACTCGAAACTGTATACTCTACATCGTACGTAGGTCGGTAGACATGTCGTGTTGCTATTTACCCTGGTATAAAACCTGTAACTATACCACCATTGGTATAGACTTTTGAAGTAGCAGCTCCTTGAAGGCCAACATTACCTCCTCCGTAGGTAAATCTAATTTTCCGCCTTATTAATTCCCTTCCTAAATCTACCACAGTAGCCATGAACTTTGGATTTTTACCAAGAGCATGACTACCAAGTAGACCAATGAATTTTATGGTGTAAGGAAGAGCTCTAGAAGTTCCTTCCATAATGTTAGAATGTGAGATACTTTTGCCACAATCGTGATATATATAGCCTCTGAAACCTTACCATTGATGGAAAGGTAATTATCACCAGCCAAAATATATACAGTAAAATGGATTTGATTTACCTACAGACGAGAATGTACTCACCAATACTATAGTCTGTTGACAATATGACATATTGAGACTCATGAACAGTTAGATTCGCTGTTCTGAGATACATTCAAATTCAAGATGAAAAGTCAAAATGGCTAATGCCCTAAGACAACGACCCCTTGCGTAACTTGAAAGATTACGTCACGACGTATGAATTGAAATAACCTTCAAATTCCCGACTATGCTTATCGTGAACCTTATTATAAAGGATATTGAAGAACTTTTCAATCGAGAAAAGAATTCTGTTGATCAATGACGTACAAAAAAGGCTCGTGAATAAACGTAGTTATGTGCAAATATGTCAAGCATGCAATGTTATACACTATGAAGAAACTTTTGTCATCAATACCAAAGGATCACTAATGTGTTTCTTAATAAAAGATTGTTAATCTCTCAAAGGTAGAATGAGTGTGGTGACATCAACGGTTTGAGAATACATATCTGTAAGATAACAACATAACCATGTGAACATGACGTGGTCATATAACAAGATGTTGATTATGGACCTTAGAAAAATTTCAAGGACGAAATTCCTTTAAGGGGGAAGAAATGTAACGCCCCAAAACATACCCTAAAATTATTAATGAAAAATTATTCAATTAATCAAATTTGTTTTGATTAAAATAAATTATTGTTGGGCTTTGGGGCGAAATAAAATGTGTTTTGATATCCAATATCACAACCTAGATAAATCTCGGAGAGACAAATCCCATATGTTGACTTTATGTGTGATTTTAATTGGGAATCAAAGTACAGACTCAAATTAAGGAGAAAAGAATAATGTGTTTATAATGTGAACATTGAAATGATTTATCGAAATAAGTCATGAGAATGAGTAATATAAATTAAATGAGAGAACCTTTTATGATAAAGGTAAATTAAACCAATTTTGACTCTTTCTAAGTCAAACACCTAAAAATATGATGTTGGAAGAAGTATTACATGTAAATATAAAAATTTTATCGTTGGATAGAGTTTAATTGACCGATCTCAAAGGTGCAAACAGAATTCAATTCGGAGAAAGTTGGACAAAAAAGTGTACCCTGACTAGAACCATTTCGGTCCCAATTAGGGAGTTGCGTATCAAATATTGGAAATCGCCGCTAGGCGCACTACGCCGATCGTGGATTTCAAGTGACACAGAGCTTGGAGTCTTCCTCTTCTTCTTCATTATAAAAGGAGACCCAATTCTCTCTATTCTTCACCAATTCCTTCAATTCTTATATTATATTCTTTGTTGAGAGAGGAGTGCAGTGGGGCTGTCAATTTGGTGAGAGGTCGCCGGAGCTAGGCACAAACATTGTCGGAAGTTTCACCAAAAAATTTCCAAAACCTCCATTTAAGCTCAAGGTAAGCCTGTAGATATATCTAGTGACTAGAATGTTTGTATAGATCGGTTTTACATACATAAACGGTCATTTTGTTGAGTTTTGTGTTTGACATACTTGAAGAACAAAAAATCATAAACCATGAAATTGTTGTTAAAACTATGAATTAATGATACCAAAATGATCTATGAACCTTGGAGAAAATTTCTATATAGTTTAATTGAAGTTTGGTAACTAAAAATGGTATTTTCAAAATTGGACCCGAACGAAGAAAAAGATGAACAGTGATCGAAAACCATACTATTTGGATCGATCCAGGGGGTGGATCGATCCCCTGGGTTTAATTTCTTTCTTCTAGTCTGGATCTATCCAGAGTATTAGATTGATCCCCCGAAAATTTGCTCCAAAAATACCTCTGAAAATTCTATTTTTGGGCTCTAAAATCATATTTTTGATACGAATTAATTATGAACAATATAAGGATGATTTTTAACCATAAAAATGATGTTTTAACAAATAAAATTTTATGCGATGCATGACGGTAAGCAAGGGGTTAATACTCGAAACTAGGCCGCTATTTGCTATTGGATGTTATGTCGATTGATGGTTATGATGAATGATTATTACGGATGATTAAGAATGACAAACCTACTGGTTCAAATGATTACTTATGATTGAACCATGAGTGAAATGAATACATTGATAATTATGAAATGATTTGTATTGTTAAGAGTATCTAGAAGAACTCTAAGATATACACTCATTCAATAAAAACGTGCAGTAGCTAGGTGCATCAACTCATTCAACATCTGAATCCATAGAGTCTAGGTGCATCAACTCATTCAACATCTGCATCACCAACTAGCAGTAGCTCAAGTGATGCTCCCACGAAAACACGTAGTCTTCGTGAGATTTATGAAAAAAGGACACGAAGACAAATTCAATCATATGAAGAAATCTTTGTGCAGATTGAAGCAAGCTCCACAAGCATGGAATGCTAAGATTGATGAGTATTTCCAGAAGAATGGATTTGTAAAACGTCCTTTTGAGCATGCCTTATACACGAAGAAAAATAAAGTTGGTTATATCATGATTGTGTGCTTATATGTGGACGATATGATTTTCACATGAAACAATCCAGGTATGTTCAAGGACTTTAAGAAAGCTATGACTAAAGAATTTGAAATGACAGATATTGGTGAAAGGTCATACTTTCTTGGAGTCGAAGTGAAACAAATGGAGGAAGGCATATTTGTGTCTCAAAAGAAATATGCGGAGGAAATTCTAAAAAAAATTTAGAATGCAAGATTGTAAGTTGGTAACCTCACCAGCAGAACCAAGCATCAAGTTAAGTGTTGACTGCATAAGTGAACCCGTAATTGCAATGTTGTTCAAAACAATCATTGGAAGTTTGAGGTACCAGACTATCTCTTGACCAGATATTATGTATGCTGTTGGACTGGTCAGCAGATTCATGGAGAAACCAAAGAAAGATCATTGAAGTGCTGCCAAAAGAATTTTGAGATACATCAATATGGTACTGTGGATCATGGTCTGTTTTACACAAACTCAAAAAAAATCAGGAATGGTTGGTTACTCAAAAATCAGAAAAAGCACATTCGGCTATCTATTTCAGCTTGCATCATCAGCAACATTTTCCTAGTCCTCAAAGTAACAACAAACCGTTGCTGTCTCAACCTGTGAGGCAGAATACATAGCAATTGTAGCATGTACTTGTCAAGCAATATGGTTGAAGAATATTCTGAAAGAGCTATCTTTTACACAAGAAGATCTGATCACAATCTATATATGTTGACAATAAGTCTGCCATATCACTGTCGAAGAATCTAGTGTCGCATAGCCAGAGCAAGCATATTGATACATAGTATCATTTATATTCGAGAGCAAGTGAAGAACAAGACAGTGCAGTTAGTTTATTGTCGCAATGAAGATCCGTTGGCAGATATCTTCACAAAGTACTTGAATGCAAATGTGTTTCACATGCTCAAAGAAAAGTTGCGAGTGAAAGCTCAGTTTAAGGGGAGTGTTTAAAGTCAAATCGACTTGACGACAAAAGTGGGATACACTATTGACTCCCAAATTAAACATGTGAAAATTCTAGTATGGTGGCAATATAATAAAGTATCAAGAACATGGGAGAATAATGAAGCACAACCTAGACGTACATTTCTACACATACACCTGGAAGCATATCATGGGAAAACTATTCCCTAATTCCCGTAAAAAGACTATAAATAATAGCTATGTATGTGTAATATAAGTAAGAGAAAACAAAGGCACTAGCCTTGTATGAAAAACAAGTGCCGTAGTAGCACTCAATAAAGAAAAAGAGTGGTTTGAGAGTTCTTTTTGTTAAAAGTGAAGTTGTAAGATTTTTGTGTATATTTTGCTCTTTGTATAATGAAAATACTATTTTTTTTATCCATTAAGCATCCAACATTTAACAGCTAATGTTTTCATTGTTTAATTTCATCAATGACTCATATAAAGATGCATGATGCATTTATACATACCATTGTCGATTACTGGTTTGGCACCACCATCAAAGAAGGCAAAGTCCACAGGGAAATCTGGGTTTTGGTAGAGGCTAAGGAAAGGGTATATGTTAACAAGGAAAGGAGCGTTGTTGTCACGGAGATGACGTGAAATCTTGATCATAAGGTCCTTGATATCAGACCGAAAATTCCCAGCAGACGGACCGGCCGAGCCAGAATCGTATACGTCCCCATTTTGGGGAATGGTTGCTTTAATCTTATCTCCTAACCCGGCATCGTTAAGAGCCTTCTGGATGTTTTGCAGCGCTGGAAACATTGTTTTCAAGAAGGAGCCATTGTAAGCCTTTAGGAACGGCTCATTCCCCACGGCCACATACCTGTACACTAGTAATACTAATAACGGAGTACTTCTAAAATAATAAACATATGAGAAATTTAGGATTAAAACATAATGACTTTCCCAATATAAGATCATATGTTTTTGTTTCCCAATGTAGGACCTTTGGTCATTATCAAGTAGTCATTATTTAACTAAATGTCCATCATTACTCGACATTATTCCTTCCACTAGGTCATTATTAAGTCCTATTTAGAGAATAAAAAAGTTTAAGTACTACATTAGGAAACTCATTATGTTTTAGTCCTATTTAGTGCAAATTTTACTAAAGATATTTAACACTCCGTATTTTTTTCAAAAAAAATGATATTTACTATCAAACCAATTCTACAGTATATTCTCATACACCTAATATATTGTACCTCTAATTAAATACCTTTTACCGAGTATATAATTCATAACAATAAACTAGGGCTAACCCATTTGTAGATCAAGCAAAAACAAACATACACAACAACTCTATATTTGTGCATGCGCAAATGTTGCATGTGTGTATGTGTACCTTTTTTGCTTGCTGTATAAATGAGATATCTCATTTTGGTGTACCCCTAGCATTGCCCAATTCATAAATGTATATATATATAATACTCCCTCCGTCCCATGAAACATGGGATGTTTTGCTTTTTGAAGAGATTTAAGAGAGTGTATTTTGGTATTGAATTTCCAAAAATGTCCTTTGATGTGATGGGTAAAAGTAAGATTTGATGGGTAGATTATTAGTAAAACGGTATGATGTGATAGGTAGGGTATGAAAAAGTAAGGAGTAAAAGTGACTTTTTAATAGAAATGAGAAGTGTTTTATGAGACGGATGAAAAAAGAAAGGAGAAAGGTTTTATGGGACGGCGGAAGTATATATTTATTTTATAATTTGGGCGTTCTAAGTATAATTAGTATAGAATACATAGTATAAAATATGCATTTTTTTTAACCATTTCAATTAAAAGTTCATTGATTGGAAATGTTAGTAGCAACAAAATGATAAATTATATTCATAAAAAAATTCACACCAATACTCAAAACATTACTATTAGACTTTTTTTGCTCACCAATACTCTCAGATATCATCATATTTTAAATCATTACTCCAACCCGACTTAGATGGTTTCAGACTTAAGTAAGTAGAATTATTTTGACTAACATGATATCTAGAATAATGACTAAAAACACATCTAAAGTAATTGGATTAAATTGGGAGCCATTTGCGTCTTTAAAATAATTTAACGAGGAAAAGACTAGTGATTTCACCGAGTTCAATTACTTTTCTTTTGTTAAGTTATAAAAAATAAATCAAATGGCATCCAATTTATTTTAATTTCTTTATAAATGTTGTCAAATTATTATTTGAGATTTCATGTTAACATATATATATATATATATATATATATATATATATATATATATGTATGTATGTATGTATGTATATATGTATGTATGTATGTATGTATGTATGTATGTATTTATGTATATATATGTATGTATGTATATATACATATATATATACATATATATATATATATACATACATATATATATATATATATGTATATATATATATATAATATATATTTTATATATATATATATATATACACACACACACACACATATATATATATATATATTAATACAATGAAATCAAATTTTGAAATTTCAGGATAAGATAAATCTAATAAATTTATTTCTATACTAATATGTAGTATACATTATAATTTTTATTTAATTGATGTATATATATTTCATTCAATTTGATTTAAAAAGTTCAAATGGATGAATATACTAGGAGGAGGGTAGTAATATGCGAAGTATAAAACACTTTGTAATGCCCCGTCTTATTTTAAGTTCATATTTTTTAAAAGAAATAAAAAATTTTAAATTATTTGTTTCTTACAAGCATTAATGGATAACAAAAGTTCACAATAATTCAAAGTATAAATTAAATTTATTAAACCACATATTTTTTCTTATTTAGATTCATAAATAGTTGTACACAAATAGATAAAAATATTTTAGACATACTATTAAACAGAAAATTTAGATCAATAAGTAATTGGAATATTTTTCCAAGAAACTTTGATACAGTTGGGCAAGAGTTTTTTGTAGGACTTGGGCAAAAGTTATTCGTTAAGAAACTGATTCAATCAAACTTTTTGTTTAAGGGTAAATTTTACCAGTAGTACTTCAACTTTGAATATTTTTTGAATTAAGTACCTAAACTTCATTTTCTATAAAAACAAAATACTCAAACTTCACAAATCCGATGTGGGATCCGTGGGATTTTCCCCTTCCAAGTGAGCGACTTTGTGAATTAATTTCTCATTCATCTGAGCACCAATTTTGGCGCACAATATATCGAAGTATTTGTCTCACTTAGAATAATATTTGTTAATAATTATTTTGGAAAAATAATTTTATGGACTCTACCAAATTTACGTTCAAAGTTGTCCCATTATGTGTCAAAATTCCAATAGTAAAACCGAGCGTTAATAATTATTTTGGAAAAATAATTTTGTGGACTCTACCTGGCAAATATCTTTATTTTATTACCTTCCTTATTGTTTTATTTTCTTATTGTATTGTTACTCTATTTTTTCTCATACATAGATTAGAATCCTCTCTTATAATCCCTATATATAGGGATGTATTCTTCATTATTCAATAAGACCAATAATTATTAAATTGTATCATGGTATTGTAGCTATGGTTCTAAAAAACCTAGTCCCTTTTTTTCGACCGTGCGCATCGCCAATTCTCCCCCCTCTAACGGGAAACCGCCGTTTACATGGCAGCACTAGATCCTCTTGCTTCTCTCCCATATGGAGTAAAATTATTATTACTATGAAATCTTCACAATCTTATCCCTGAGAAACTCACAGATACAAACTATGCGTGGTCGCTACATGTTCAAACCACTCTTGAAGAAAATCTTCTCTTTGATTGGAATGGTGGACCCGAGAAAACCCTACCTTAGATGGTCCTAAAAGATAGAGTTTTTACTCTAAATCTTGATAATGCTTCCGAGACAGTCATTGATACTCAGATTCGGGGATGTCTTCCCACCATCATCAGCCATGTTGTCCATAAACATGCACATGGCTACACCACTTGTGCCGCCTTGTGGGATGCATTAGAAACAAGGTATAACTCTATATCCACCATCCATATTTATCAACTTCGTAATAAGCTACATACTCTTCGCAAAGGTACCAAATCCATGACTCAAGGCCTTGATGAAGTCGATACAATCTCATCTTGATAATTTGCATGGAAAATATTCCTGAACAAGATGTAATCAATGCTTTTATTGGGGGTCTCTCCACTTAATATTTTTCATTCAAACAAAACATTCATCTACCAAATGGTGACATTGCTCTCAATCAGCTTTTTGTGTGGCTTACTTTAAAGAAAACTAACATTGAGATGGAGCAAAAGCTAAACCTAGTTGATTCTTCTTCTAGAGGGCCGTATACTACACTGCTTGCTACAGGCGGTCGAGGAGGCTACCAGTGTCGAGCATCCTCTGGTCGCGGCTACAATACCTCTCGAGGCGGTCAACGAAGCAGACGACCGTCGCAACCCGTCTCGCGATCCCCCTATTTTTTAGATTTGTGACAAAAGGGGACATTCAATAGCGAAGTGTTGGTACCTTTTTGATGATTCTTATGCAGTGAACTCTTCTGCTTATGCCCTCGTGCTATGCATGCTCTACAAACAATCAATTTGGAGATTGATATTTGGACACTAGTGCCAATACTCATGTTACACATGATTTTTCACAAATCGACTCCCCTCATCCATACACTAGTAGTAATACTATTGCTGTAGGTAATGGTCAAACCTTACCCATCACACACTGGATCAGGCTCAGTTCACAGATCCAATAGTGCATACCATCTATCTTTCACTCACCATGTTCCTTCACTTACATCCATTTTTTTCCTATCTATCGTTTCCCAAAGATAATAACTACACTTATTTTTAATGTAAATTCTTTTCAGATAGTGGACAATACCACCAACAAAATGCGGTACAAGGGCCTCTGTGAGCATGAAATATACACCCTCCCTTGCCATCCACCGTCAGTCGTGTGCCAAGCTATCCAAGCATCTACCTGGCATCGTAGACTCGGTCATCCAGCTCTTGCGATCACCAAATATATCTTGTCCTCGTTAGGTTTTCATTTTTAGAACCATTGCATTTTGAACTTTTGTCTCTAAGTCGTGTCGTTTACCATTTGAGTTGTCTGAACATAAAGCCATTACACCATTTAATTTAATACATTTTGATGTTTAGGGTCCAACTTCTATTACACATGTCGGTGGTTTTCGTTATTACATCTCCTTCATTGATGATCTTAGAAAATTCACATGGATTTATCCATTAAAACACAAATCAGAAGCTTACTATGTTTTTGTAAGTTTTGAAAAAATGATTAGAACTCAATTCAGTTCTGACATAATGTACTCTGTATCTTTTACTTTTTAATGATTTATTCATCATATTTGAAAGTTATACGCCCTCCGTCCCAAAATATTTGAAACATTTGCTTTTTTAGCAGTTGCGATTTTTTTTATTTCTACGTTTTCATTGGTTATTTGATAAAATAAAATATTCTTGACACCTCTTATTTCGAAACATTTTTCATGTAGTTTTTTGATATGTAAATTTTATTTTTTTTATTTCTATACCAATATGTAAATAAAAGTAATTGAAAAACTTGATATTTTATCTCGGGAATACAAGTGTGACAAATATTTAGGGACGGAGGGAGTAGTAAAATTTACTTTTATGGAGTGCTTCCATTTTCTTGAGTACTTCAAAACTTTTATACTCCATCTGTCCCTAAACGATTAACACTTTACGCAAAACGAAGTAAAATTCGAAATTTTTTAAATTCATTTAATTTAAATATTGGTATATTAATAAAAAAAATAAAGTTACATATTTAAAAAGTATATCAAAAGTACTACAAAATAAGAAGCGAGAAGAATATTTTATTTCATCAAAAAGTCCATGAAAAATAAAATAAAGAATAGTTTCCGTGACTTTTAAATAGTGAAGTGTGTATATCATTTAAGGACGGAGGGAGTACCTTCTTTCATCTTAAATTGTTAATCAACATATTTTTTATTGATCTATTCTCTTCTATATAAAAATAAACGTATAAACTTTATTCTTTAATTTGCTTTTTTTTAGAAAAAAATATATGTAATTCGGTAGTGAAATTTGCACTGAATAGGACTAAAACATAAGTCATTTACCAATGTAGGACTTAAATTTTTTTATTCCCTAAATAAGACTTAATAATGACTAGTGAGAAGAATAATGTCCAAATGATGCTGGATATTTAGTTGAATAATGACTAATAGATAATGACCAATGGTCCAACATTGAGAAATAAAACATATGGTCTTATTTTGAGAAATTCATTATGTTTTAGTCTATTTAGATAAATTACCCAATTCGATAATGTTTCTCATTTTCTCTAAATAAAATCTAATGATACATCTATCAAACTTTTCAATGTTTCATTTATCTCACTTCTAAATTTATAGTAAAGTTTACGATGTTTGACGTATGGTATTTTTAAAATCAGTATAAAATTTATACAGAGTATATAAAATATTTAGAAACTATATTAAAGGATCTACAAAAAGATGCGACGAAGCTAAATAATTTTATCAACTGATAGATAAAAATATGTAAAGAAAGAAGAAACAATTTGACTGCGTGAATACTAATTGTAAAGAATAAAAGTAAGTTCTTTTCTTAAACTTTGTAGAATTAAATCATGATATCTATTTGAAATGATGAAAGTGCAACCTTTGTCACATTGTATTCATCCTCTTGGACTTTTTTTAGTTAAACTAAATAAATTTTAAACGTCAATTAAAAAAATTATACTCCTATTACATATACATACAGTAAAATAATTTTTGGTAATATTTGTAAGATAAATCTTATTTTTCTTATAATCGGACAAATGAATTACAATCTCACATTTTTAGATATAGGACCCAGGGTTAAAAGTCTTGGATTTGCCAATGACTGCAAAACTCTTATTTAGAAGTTTGAAGAAGTAAAAACAATGTCATTCTTATGTTGATGCTTTTGATCTCATTTTACTCTTAAAGAAGATGGGGTACCTGCATGAGTATGGTTCATGGCCACAAAGCAGATCTACCCCACCTATGTGGGTAGGATGCCACAAAACAAATTAAACCTTTACCATGTAATTTTTTTTATCAAAATTGTAACATGATGAGTAACAATTAATTGTTTAATTTATTAAAATTCAAACAAGATAAAAAAGTCTAGGCTACGTACTTGTAGGTAGGTGTTACGAGTATTTTTAGTGGAATTTGCACACTAAAACATAAGTCATTTCTCAATGTAGGACTTAACTTTTTTATTATCTAAATATGACTTAATAATGACTAGTGAGAAGAATAATGTCCAAGTGATGCTGGACATTTAATTTAGTAGAATAATGACTAATAGATAATGACCAATGACCCTACATTGGAAAATAAAAACATATGATCCTATATTGAGAAAGTCATTATGTTTTAGTCCTATTTAGGTAAATTACCCGTATTTTTATAGTTTGGAGATATTTGAGGATAAAAATTAGATGACATTGCAGGATTGGCCCGTGCATGGATAGTATCCATGAGTGCCCCTCCGCCCTCTCATCTACATATATTACTTCAAATTTTAACTACACATTTTTTATTTGTAACACTTCTATATATATTAAATTTAGTGAAAGTCAAACCTAAAAATTTTTTAGACAACGGAGTGGTATATTTATATGTTAAGATTGTAGAGACATACTCGAATTTAAATAAGGTTTCTGTCCCTAAGAATCTGTCGGTATTGCCATTTTTTTTGGGGAAATTTACTTAAATAGCACTAAAACATAATGACTTTCACTAAATAACATCACATGTGTTTTTTTCCCAATGTAACACTTTTAGTCATTATTCAAGTAAATATTTGCCACCACTGGACATTATGGACATTATTAGGTGCTATTTAGGGAAGAAAATAATTTAAGTGCTATTTAGGGAAATGACTTAAGTTTTACTGTTATTTAGTGCAAATATTTCTTTTTTTGTACTGCCCTGCTAGTTAGCCCCATATTGGATCTTTATCCCTAAACCGTAGCTTGGTGGTTGTTTTGATGTATTCTCGGCTCCAAGTTCTCAATGTAGGCCTTCAATCGACCAGATATCTCTCTGCCATGTCACCTCTCTGCTAAGCAACACATTGGACAGAGAACTACTTGTCTCTAAAACATTGCTACAATTTAACTCTATTAGTTAAATTGTGACTTTTTTTTACTATAAATTAAATATAGTTTAAAATAATTAACAATTATGAAAATTTAATATTTCAAAACTATATTTTAAAATAAACCTTATTTCACTAAAATTAAAGCGAAAACATGTTATATATCTGCTTATATAAAATAGTGTTCTTCTATATGTCAAATGATAGCTAGAAAAAATAAAAATTGGCATGCCAAAGAGAGTGAAGAAAAACCATCCAAGCAGAAACCGAACTTTTATAAGAATCACTCTTCCAAAATTAAACATCCTCCCGGCCAATCTAATAATTGGCCATATATAATTCGATTTTCAATTTGTCTGGTCGGACTTAGATATTTGAAGGTTGAGAAATTAGTTGTATATGGTCGGTTCGTTTGTATTGCTATCCCTAAGTAGCGTGCGTGTAGTAGCATCTAACAGCATTACCCCCGTGCAAGCAAGCATGGGGTCTAGACTAAAAAAATGATCAATAAATTAGTGAAGATAATTAATGACTAAGCTTACTTGATCTTAACGCCTCCGTCGTATAAATGGGAGCTAATATTTTCCTTGACCCAGTCCTTGGCATGATCAAAATCATCAGCGAAGAGGTGGAGCTGGTTGTTGGGAATTCCCGGCATAACGTCTATGCCAGTGCCGGCGAAGAAGTTTATAGTCCAGTGGTCGGAGTCGAAGAGCTTAATCTTCTCAATATGGTTGTCCTTGAGCATCTGGACGATGATGGGAGGTTCCAAGACTTGGGCGGCTTGAGTTCCCCAATTTACGCCAACACCACCGCCGTTGACGACGGAGGGGCAGGCGAAGGCGAGACAGCTGCAGGTCCATATCGCGAACCACCAGACGCCGCCGCGGGGCATCATCGTTGACGTTAGCTGTGTATGCTTTTTGGATCGAGTTCGATATATGGCCGGGTCGCTGGTATTTAATTGGAGGGATATGAATATGATGGCACGTGTATGGATGGGAGTAATGAGGGTTTGGGGTGCCGCGGGAGTTTAGACAGGAATAAGACAATGAGAGTGGGAAATGGAGAAGCACCCGGGTAATCACTCTTTTTCTTAAAGTAAATTTTACTCCCTCCCTCCCAAAAAATTTTGTTACGTTTAGAAAAAACTGTATCCCGTAAAGTTCGTTACATTTTTATTAAAAAACTACTTTTACCCCTTACTTTTTCATACCCTACCTATCACATCATACTTTTTTTCTAATAATCTACCCATCACATCCTACTTTCACCCATCACATCAAGGGTATTTTTGGAAAGTCAATACCAAAATATCTCTCCCTTAATTTTCCAAAAAGTCAAACTGTCCCATTCTTTTTGGGACGGAGGGAGTATAAACTACTCCCTATTTAATACTACCTCCGTCCCATTTTATAACGCCTGTTTCGGTTTACGGTGTTTGACTAAAATTATTTTCAAACCATTTTATATGACAAATGGTATAGAATTAAAAAATAAAAATTACATATTAAAAAACTACATCAAAAGATCTACAAAACTAGTAGTGACAATAATATTTTATTTTATCAAATTGCTAACGAAAATAGAGAAAGAAAGTGAATGAAGTTTGATCCTGTGAATAGTAAACAGGCATTATAATTTGGGACGGAGGGAGTAGTATAAGAGAGAAACTAAAAAATATAAAAATAAAATTTGTTACTTTATTTTAAAAATAAAAGTCATGTTTTATTTTTATTTTGAGTGATTAGTATACTTATTTTTATATACTATCCTAAAAATTTCAAAATAATACATTCATGGTTCTCTTTATCTGAGAATCCTTCAATAATATAATCACTTATTTGAGCATGATACAATTGAATAAGAATTGGTCTTATTGAATAATGATGGATAAATCTCTATATATGGGGATTACAAGAGAGAGTTCTAATCGATCATATTAGGAAAAGAATATAGTAAGAATACAATAAGGAAAGAAGAGAATAAGCCAATATATAAGGAATGTAATTAATAATCTATATTATTTCCTATTATCCCCCGCAAGCTTATCATCGGTAACGAGAAGCAGCTTGAAATAATAATACTGGAATTGAGCCGGGGAAGAAGTTTTGTAAGGATAGTCTCTAGGAGTAGAAAGCCAGATCTTCGCTGCATGATGAACGAGCTTGAAATTACATTCGCTGAGTTTTTCCCTGGGGAGTGTGTAGACCTGGCAAAACAGAACCGGAACCGATTACCCGAACCGAAATATCCGAAACCGAAACCGGAATGACCCGAAAAATGAAGATCCGATCTATAACCGAAAACCCGAAATGATATGAATCGAACCGAACTAAATAATTCATATCCGATTTAAATCCGAAACAGATTAGATCCGAAACCGATAATATCCGAACCGTTAAACTCGAAACTGATTAGATCCGAACCCGATAATACCCGAAACCGATAAAATTCGAAACCGATTAGATCTGAAACCGATAATATCTGAACCCGATTAGAACTAAAATCGATAAATTCAGAACTATGTTTGCCTTTCAATAAGCATATTATATTTTTAAATTTTTTACTTTTATTTTACCATTTGAACTAATTACATTACTTGCTCATTCCCTCATAAAATAGATTATCTTCTTGAAAAAAGTACAAAATTTTATGCCTTAAATTTATTATATGTACAATGTAAAGATAAGTTATACATATAAATGATAACACACAAACAAATAAAATTTCCGTAATTTTTAAATAGTGAAGTGTGATATTCTTTTTGGAACGAAAGAAATATATGATGAATTGTATGGGATAACTAGATTTTATCCTAATTTCATCTCATTACAATAAATTTTATTGATTTGAGAGTTAATTTGATTAGTTTCAAACCAATTCACTCAATATTAGTCAATAAAATTAGATGCTAGTGTTAGCATTTTGAAAAGACTCTCTAGCGGTAGCCTTTACTGTTATCATTTTCAAATATACTCAACAACTTACAAATTTTGCACTCAATTGAATAAAATTCACTTAATTTCACCCAATTTTACTCAATTTTTACCAAATTTTATTCAAATGGAACATAAGACTATTTGAATTTATCTTTTATCCTTTCATTTATATACATAAGTATATTAGTAGATGTGAGAAAGATTTGATATTTCAAAACTAAATTTTAAAATCAATTTAATTATATTAAATTTATATCATAATTAAATATATATGTTTTCATAATTTGTAGTCCAAATTTGTAAAATATGACTAAAAAGTCAAAAAGGGAAGATTATTTAGGGTAGAGATAATATAACTAGAAAAAAATATAAAATAATATGAGGTATTGAATTGATGATAGATTGATAAATGTGATAAAACATAAAAAGAAACACGGATAGTTAAATTTTAATTAGAAAATAATATATATCCAAAATATATTTGATCCGAAACCGAAATATATCCGACTCAAATTGTATCCGAACCGAAATCTATCCGAACCGATTTATAACCGAACCGACTCGAAACCGAACCGAACCGAAAAATGTATAGAACCGAAATCAAATCCAAACCGAAATTTAACCGATCCGAACCGAACCGATTATAACATATAACCGAAAGATATCTGAACCAAAAAAATCCAACCCGAAACCGATCCGGTTGATCCGATTGCCACCTCTAGGAATGTGTTGGCGATTGGAGCGAGGGTGGAATTACACTCCTTTTGGGTCATTATTTGCTTATCTGTCGCTTTTCATGTTCTCGATCTCTAGAAAAAACATCGATAAATGCAACTCACTAGTTCTTCCATCACATGCGTAGTTTTTTGGAAGAGAGAGATAATGGATTTTGTTGCAAGAAAGAGAGGGATAATGGATGGCGGTTTTGAGGCACGCTTGTCGAGATCGGTCGCCGATACCATATTGCCAGACGATCGACCGCCATGGACAGAGAGCGGCGATGTGCTCGGTCTTAAAGAAGTGTCTGGGTTTTAGAAAACCTTAGCTCTAATACCATGGTACAATTTGATAATAATTGGTCTTATTGAATAACAAAAGACACATCTCTATATATAGGGATTACAACTAGGGTTGTAAAACGAATGAATAATAATTTTGATGCGATTCGTGATTCGTATTCAAAAAAATGAATACGAATAAATATATAAATATTTATTAGAATTTGAAAGGGATGCTTCACACAAGGGATGCTTCTTCAAACACCCCATCTCTAACCGAGCAAATGGCCGCCTTGACCGCCACCCTTTTTCGGATAGACACAAACGTCTCCCAAACGGCCCAAAACGTCAACATTTTGAGCCGTGAGCTTCACAGGTATTTTGACTTTGTCAACTACCCTTACGCTCAAATGGTCCCTTACGCTCCTCCGCCAAACTTCGGGGGTGAACCAAGCAGGACTAACAACGTTGGTGGAGAAGAAGAGGTGAACGATGAGGAAGAAAAGGAAGAGGAAGCCGAAGAAGAAGAAGAATAATGAAGAAGAAGATGATGATGATGAAGAGGAAGACATCGATGAAGAACAACTCCTCGATGATCTTTCACCGGACTTCTAGAGCTCTAGCTCTTTTCTCTTCTCTTATTTATTTATTTTTTTAAATTTGCTTCCGTTATGTACTCCGCTATTTTCCTTATTTTAAATAAATTAAAAATCTTTATGGTTTTTAAATCTTTTTGTTAATGTCAAAAGAGGGAAGATAAGGGTTATGCATATCTTAAGGGGGAATTTTTATTAAGGGGGAATTTCTTTCAAAAAAAGATCAAAACCCTATGCATATCCCCGTCTTGTTTGCCATTATCACAAAGGGGGAAATTGTTGGAACATACTTTTTATTACGTTAAACTAAAGTCGTGTTCATTTCTGACAGGTTTTGATAATTGCCAAACCGCCGTGGATATGAAGAGTTTCATTGAACAACCCGAGGCGTGAAGAATGGCATGGAACAAGACCAAAAGACTCAAGGACATAGTTCAAGAATTGAAGACTTAGTCGAGTCGGTCTTATTGTGATCAAAACCAATAATCAATTCAAGTCTCGGCTCTCAAAAAGTAAAAATAATTTTACAAAATCATAAAACGTTTTTGTGCATCAAAATAAACGTTTTTAAAAGTTTTATTGTATTAAAAACCCTGGAATGCATTACTACCCCCCTTTTTCAGCAAATATTGAAATATTGAGCACATTAGCTGACACTTTGTGCTCAAATGCATTCTGCATGCTTATTGTAATGGTGCACACAGACCCAAACTCGATCTGAGGGCTTCAAATCTTTCCCCATCAAGTGCTTTAGTAAATATATTTGCTAACTGATGCTAAGTGGGAACGTATTTAAGAGTGACAATTTTTCCCTCGACTAACTCACGTATGAAGTGATGTTTGATGTCGATGTGTTTGGTACGAGAGTGTAGCACTGGATTTTTTGAGATATTGATGGCACTTGTGTTGTCAGAGTAAAGAGGAATAGTGTCATGCTTAATTCCATAATTAGTTAACATTGATTTCATCCACATAAGTTGTGCACAACAACTTCCTGCGGCAATGTATTCAGCTTCTGCAATGGAGAGTGAGGCAGAATTTTTCTTTTTGCTGAACCATGCAACCAAGTTTCCCGCCAAATAAAAGCATCCTCTAGAAGTACTTTTGCGATCATCAATGTTACCAGCCCCGTCTGCATCACTATATGTCATAAGATGTGCTGAAGCACCTTTAGAGTACCAGATACCCATGTTGTGTGTGCCTTTGACATACTTCAGTATTCTCTTCACAGCCTTTAAATGTGATTCTTTAGGGTTAGCCTGATACCTTGCACACAACCCCACACTATAACATATGTCCGGTCTGCTTGCAGTGAGATATAAAAGACTCCCAATAATCCCTCAGTAGTAGGTATCATCAATGTCTTTTCCATCATCGTCTCTACTGATCTTCTCGTGTGTTGGACATGGTGTTCTAGCACTTTTGCAATTATTCATTTCAAACTTCTTCAGCATGTTCTGTGCATATTTATTTTGTGAAATGAATATACCATCATTTGTTTGCTTGACTTGTAACCCCAAAAAATAAGTCAGTTCTCCAATCATGCTCATTTCGAATTCCTTTTCCATGATTCTCACAAATTCTTCAACATGAGTATGA